TGCAACGACCAGGAGCATCTGGGGCCGTCTATAAGATCTAGTGCAGTATCGGACAAAGCAACTACGTCGGAAAAACTGGCAGACTTCTCAAGACGCGAACTGCCGAACACGCTACAGCAGTGTGGCGAAAGAATGCTAAATCTCAAGTTGCGGCTCATTCGACGAGACCCAACCACACATTCCAATTTGATGAGGCCGCAATTCTCGTAAGTGATGATACTTGTTTGAGGCAAGAGTTACTTGAGTCGAAGTTCACGGGCCCCCAGCCCATAAACAAGCGCAACGATCTCTCCAATCTATATTCGGTGCTGGGGTTCAATTTGGCCAAAACAAGTGGCTACTTGGGGAACGCGCAAGGCACCGCGTCGCCTTACGCCAACAACGGAGAAACAGATGGCCGAGCAATCATCACGTCCAATTCCACCACGCGTGCTGCAAGTTAATAAGGTCACGGCCCGCATGCTGGTTATCGTGCCATCCGCGTCCTATAAATACTGCAACTTCCTGTGCATGTATCATCCGTTTCTTCTGCTATTTTCTGCTCATATCTCTGATGGGGAAACCGTTACGGAGGTCGAAACGTAAGACGAATAGAGGTTTCATCGAATATCCTTCTAAATTACTTCCTGGCACTCGCATGTTCTCTTGTATTGACAGATGCGTAATATTTTCTAAATGTATGTCCTGGCAACGCTTCATAGACCTGTTGCATTTTAAGAGCCGTTGTGAGCATGTCTTCGAAAAAAACGCTCGGCCTATTTACATGGACAAACAATGAAAATGCGGGGTTTTTATCCGATTTCGAGCGTATTTCTAACGCATCGGAGCGAGCAATTGCGTCTTTTTTACTGTTTACCTATGCGTGTAAGGGTCCGTATTCTGTTTGAGTCAAGGTTCCCAAATATATGCGCTGGGAATGTCAATTTCGCTTGAGGCAGCTTTATAGCCGTAAGCGCTAGCTAGCAAACACAAATGCACAAAGCCTCCGCCCTATAAGTTAGGAACCTCGAGAACCCGACCAGGAAGACACCAACGTTTTTTTAAAAACTGGATATCCTTTTTCAGACTGTACACATTTACCGATCTCTGAAAGACGCCTCCTTAATATGCTTCCGGCGGTGAAATTAAGACCAATAAATTGCTCCTTAATTTGCGTTGTCTCTCCCTCTCAATCCTGCTCCAGGCGACACCGATGGGGAGGGCGGCGGACGGGATGACGGCGACCAGAACGCTCGAAGCTCCTCCAAGGGTGGCGTCAGCAACGGAAAAGGCGGTCGGAAGGCCTTCTTCAAAAAGGTGAGTCTTTACAGGCAGGCAGACGGGGATGTTTGAGCATCCGAAGATGGGCTTGCCGCCCACGCGCTGCTATCTTAACGGCCGCAGATGCTAATAAAAGCAAGAGGAAGTGGGCGGGGGTGGGAGGAGCAGGCTTCTGTTGTTATAGACACCATCTTTTACGCTGAAACATACTCTCACCTACCTACCTACCGTTTTTAAACGCATACAAAAGCGTTTGAAGTTCACCGCGAGCAAGGCCCGGCTTAGCCACCTTTTTAAAGACGTTGTCAAACAATGTT